CTGGGAGGGACTTCCCCACCCCTCCTCCATGCCAGCCTCCCCCTCCTCCATGCCAGCCTCCCCCTCCTCCATTCCAGCCTCCCCCCTCGCTAGTGGGTTCAACGCCAGAGTGCTTCAGAATCCAACCTCTTCTCCAGTGTACTGAGTCTGGTGATCCTTGCCCTCTATCCTGTACTTAGGTTTTTACCCTCAGTCTAAAACCTTGGACAAAACGAAGCCAAAGAGGACCGGGGTACAGCTCTGTCGCAGAAAACCGACCTGACAATCTGAGGGCGCTAGAGGAAGTCATGGGAAATCCTCTTGGTCACGATGCGTGTGACCTTCTGCCCGGGGTGGCTGACTGGACAGAAAGCTCTAGGCACCCACGCACCAGTGCCTGCGTGCTTCCCTGAACTTAAATTTCTTGTTCTACTACATAAAGACAACCTGGAAGTATGAATGCCTGTGAGCAGTGTGTATTCAAAGGGAAAAAACCCAACGACAAATGGCCTTTACTTTTGCAGCCAGCCAACTTCTTCACAAAAACAGGACATTTTAGAAACAGTCCACCCAGGCCCCGTCGGGAGGGCCTCAACTGTGGTGATTTTCCAGGGTTTCAGTCTCGGGGGCAGCAAAGCAGTGAGCCTCGTTGGCCAACGTGGAAACCACAGGCCGGCCCGGGGCTCCTGGGGGACAGTGGACACGGCCACACATCGGAGCTCGCGTTACCTCTTTCCGCTCGGCATCGGCCTGCATTCTGGCCTGGGTCGCGGCGGCCTCACGGCAGGAGCTGGCCTGCTTGGCCTGTTCAAACACTGTCTTCAGCTGCTGTGCAGTGCTGAGCAGAGAGTTGACCATCTCTTCCAGGTACAACCAGCTCCGTGGTTCTGACATCTCCAGCCCATTGACCACCGTGGGGGAGACAGCTTTGGTGGGGGTGGAAGGCGGCACTGCTAGGGCAGGCAGGGATGTCAGGACTGGAACGTGTAGAACGGAGGATAAACCAAGATATTAGCAACTCCCAAGCTTCCGGACAGCCTGCACCAAGCACGCTCCCATGTGGGAACAGAGGGTGAGAGGAACAGCGGAAGACCGCTGCCGAGGCTCCGCCGTCCTGCCCCCCCTGCACCTTCTCAGCGCTGCCAGCAACAAGCCCAAGACAGGCCCTCAGCTGACACAAGGCCAAGAACCCCGTGTCCACAGACACCTACCTGGGGCAGGGCGACCGTGAAGCAAGCACTAACCCAAGTCTGTTTCCTTACATGTCCAAGGAAGGAAAACCTTTCATGTTTTGTTTCCTATTTTTGGCTTCTTTTTTAAAGACAGAAGGGTCTCCCTTTACAGCCCCGACTGGCCCTGAACTCCCAGGCCTCCTGGGATTGCAGGTGCGCACGCTGGGCAGAGTGGCCAGCGGCAGCTCTGTCTCCTGCGGTGAAGCAGGAGGCCCTGGTGCACACGGCGGGCGGGTGTGAGAGGGCATCCGGAGCTCCCCGCGGGCGGGCGGGCGCGGCGGGGAGGGGGATGCACACCACTCACCCAGGGGCAGGCCACCCTCACTAGGCACAGGTAAGCGCCTGGTGTCACAGCCCAGGTGAGGGCCACTCTAGACAAGGGCTCCGGGCAGCCTCCACAGCAGGGTGTCTGGAGGCAGGAAGGCACACACGGAGGGCTGAGCTCAGAAAGCAAGCGCAGCCCTGAGGCTGGGCACCTCCTGTCACAGCTACAGCAGCTGATGCTCATTTCCTGAGTCTCCCGTGATCCTTGTGTTTCAGGAAAAGCACAGTAGAGCAAGATGAAGAGTATCTGCAATTTACTATCAAATAGCTCAAGGGAGAGAGTTCCTTACACATAGTTGATCTTTTGTTGTACATCTGAGATCATTTCTATAAAGAAGTTCTTAAGCTGGGCACTGGTGGCTCACACCTGCAATCTTGGTTATTCAGGAATCTGAGATCTGAAATCACAGTCCAAAGCCAGCCTGGGCAGGAAAGTCTATGAGACTCTTATCTCTAATTAACTCTAAAAATCCAGAAGTGGGGCTGTGACTCAAGTAGTAGAACCTAAAAGCTCAGAGAAAAAGTCTATGCTCTGAGTTCAAGCCCCAAGACTGGTGCGCGCACACACTTGCACACACACACACAGAGGTACTTGGATGTTAACAAAATTTCTGGAGGTGGGGTTCCCTCCTGAGTTCATGATGAGCAGCGGACAAGCCCTGCACCACACAGCCCACGGCAGACAAGGTGCAGCCTGTGTGAGCCAGAAGGACAGAAGTTTGGTCAAGGTGGGAGGGACTTTTAAAAACTTACATTGTGGGGCTGGGAAGGTGGCTCAGTGGTAGAGCACTTGTCATGCATGCTCAAGACCCTGGGTTCGATTCCTCAGCACCACATAAGCAAAAAGAAAAAAAACGGAAGTGGCGCTGTGGCTTAAAGTGGTAGAGTGCTAGCCTTGAGCTGAAGAGCTGAGGGACAGCACCCAGACCCAGGGTTCAGGCCCCACGACCGGACCCAAAAAAAAAAAAAAAAACTTACATTGTTCATAACACTAGAAAATGTAAAACTGCAAGCTGGGTTCTGGAGGCTGGTGCCTGTCATCCTAGGGACTCAGGTGGATGAGATTCAAAGATCACGGTTCAGAGCCCAGTAAAGGAAAGGCTTGAGGCTTTCCTCTCCAATTAATCATCCAAAACTCAGAAAAGGAGCTGTGGCCCAAATGGTAGAATGATAGCCTTCAGTAAAAAAGCTTGGGGACGGGCTGGGAAGGTGGCTTAGTGGTAGAGCGCTTGCCTTGCATGCATGAGGCCCTGGATTCGATTCCTCAGCACCACATAAGCAAAAAAAAAAAAAAAAAAAAAAAGCCGGAAGTGGCGCTGTGGCTCAAGTGGTAGAGCGCTAGCCTTGAGCTGAAGAGCTGAGGGACAGCGCCCAGGCCCAGAGTTCAGGCCAGCCTTGAGCTGAAGAGCTGAGGGACAGCGCCCAGGCCCAGAGTTCAGGCCAGCCTTGAGCTGAAGAGCTGAGGGACAGCGCCCAGGCCCAGAGTTCAAGCCAGCCTTGAGCTGAAGGGCTGAGGGACGGCGCCCAGACCCAGAGTTCATGACTGACTCTAGTCCCCCGCCAAAAGTAAGAGTTGAGGTCTTCAGAATGGTACATGCTTAGGCTGGGATGCAGCTTGCCTAGCAACTGCATGGTCCTGGGTCTGATCGATCCTCAGTACTGACAAAGAATGGTGCATGCTTGCAATCCCAATGTGGTCAGAGGTGAAAGTCCAAGGCCAGTCCAGGCAAAAGTGGAGACCCTGTGTGGAAAAACTAACTAAAGCCGAAGAAGTGGGGCTGAGTTCAAGAACTAGAGGCCATGCGTTCAAACCTGGGTATCACCAAAATTTTTTTTTAATAAAAAATAAATAGCTGGGTGCCAGCAGCTCACTCCTGTAATCTTTGATACTCAGGAGGTTGAGATCTGAGGATCATGGTTCAAAGCCAGCCCAAGCTGAAAAGTCCATGAATCTTTCCTCCAATTAATCATAAGAAGCTGGAAGCAGTATTAATCATATGATTAATTAATCAATCATAAGAAGGGTCAAGTAGTAGAGTGTTATCCTTAGACAAAAAAAGTTCAGGGACAGCACCAAGGCCCTGAGTTCAAGCCTGAGGATTGGAACTAAACAAACACACAAACAAACAAAGCATAGTCAAGTGAAAACCCAGGTCAAAGTACACACAGAATGGCGAGCTCTCTGCCGTGAAGGCATGGGCATCACACGGTCACTCTGCAGCTCCGGACCCAGGGGTGTGGGTCCTCTACGAACACCTCCTCTTCCCAGAGGACCTGGCGATACCTACGTTAGGCCTCAAAGGAGTTTTGGTGTTTATGGGAGCTGCCTGACACTAGACCCAAGAGGGCTCACAAACAAGTGATCAGGGAGCCGATGTGTAGTAAAACGCTCTTTACACACAGGTAGGCTTCTGGTCAGCCCTGACCTGCGCTTCAGCAGAAAAGCAAACAGCAACAGAGGTGGTGAGATCGACCAGGACACACCGCACATGTATGTGCAAATGGATAAAGAAATCCCCCTTACTTAACTAACGTGAGCTAATGAGAAGAAGAAAGGAAAACCAAACAGCCCAGGGCTGGGGCTGGAGCTGGTGGCAGAACCCTTGACAGCATGTGAGTCCTGAGGGTGACCCATGCGTGAACTCTGTCAGACTCACCTATTTTGGGATGTGACGTTGGCAGAGCGGCTTCTGGGAACGGGGCGATCTGGCAGCTGTCCTGAAAGCCGGGGTAGTGAGGCTCAGGGTGGCCGACCCTGCACGGGGGCTGCACCCCGGCCTCCTGCACTGGAGAGAGAGCGACAGGAGGCTTCAGCCACGCAGACACCACAGGTCCTGGCCACAGGTACTTGGATGACGTGAGGGAGTGTGGATAGTCAGAAGACCACACATGAGGATTTCGCCTGTTTCACGCACTTTCCTCACACGGCTCCTGCAAAGGGGCCGGGACTCTACTCCTGTGAGACAGCGCTGCACCCAAGCGGGAATTGGCAGACCAGCTTGGCAGACGCGGCTCTGTCACAAATGATCAGGTCCCACACCACGTGCCTGCCACACGCACTCATCTGATTTCTGCTGGTCAGCAGCAGACAGCTGCTCAAAGTGCCTCCCACGGTACCAGTAGCAGACAAGGCCCACCGTGTGGAGCCAGGAGACCGGGGCTGCACACAGGTCAGACAGTGGTCCACCACTCACCCGTGGCTCCAGCGAAGACATCGCCCTGGGTGGGACCCTCTGATATGACAGCAGTGGCCTCCACAGCGGAAGCCCGGTCGAAGGTCAGTGCCCCAGAGGTAGTGATCTGTCCTGAGGGCGTCACAGTGACTGGAAAGCAGAAGTGCATTTGACACTCAGCCAGGCCTCATCTACTCCAGGACGCAGAGCTCTGAGGATTGCAGTTCAACACCAGTGGACACAGAAGTCTCATCTCTAATTAAATCCCAAAAAAGTCAGAAGTGGAGGGAGGTGTGGTAAGTGGTAGAATGCTAGCTTTGAGCAAAAAGGCTCAGGGACGGAGCCCAAGCCTGGAGCTCCAGCTGCAGGAGGGGCACCAAAATAAATGAGAAGAAAAGGCTCTAATCAGGGCTGTGCTCATCAGCGGTCCAGCCTGCGACCTTCAGCCTTCACCGCCTCCTCTCCTCCTGCTCTCAGCCCAGGAGATGCTGACTGGCCCTCAAGATGGGCAGACCTAGAGACCACCAGTGTGGGGACCGCCAGGCCCTGCAGGGACACATGGCTCCAAAGGCTGAGGTCTGACCAAGGCCTTTTCTTTTTCCCACACATCTGGGGTTTTTGTTGTTTGTTTTTGTTTTGTTTTGTTGGTCAGTCATGGGGCTTGAACTCTGGGCTTGGGTGCTGTCTCTGCGCTCTTCAGCTCAAGGCAAGCGCTCTACCACTTGAGCCACAGCGCCACTTCCAGTTTTCAAGTGGTTTATTGGAGATAAGAGTCTCACGGACTTTCCTGCCTGGGCTGGCTTTGAACCATGATCCTCAGATCTCAGCCTCCTGAGTAGCTAGGATTACAGGCGTGAGCCACCGGTGCCCGGCTGTTTTGTTTTGTGCCAGTCCTGGGGCTTGAACTCAGCCTGGAAGCTGTCCCTGAGCTTTTGTGTTCAAGGCTAACACTCTACCACTTAAGCCATAGCTCCACTTCTGACTTTTTTGGTAGTTAACTATAGAGATGAGAGTCTCACAGCCTGTCCTGCCTGGGCTGGCTTTGAACTGCAACCCTCAGATCTCAGCCTCCTGAGTAGCTGGGATTTCAGGTGTGTGCCACCAGCGCCCAGCCATTCTGTGGTTAAGCGAGCCAGATTTCCCTTCTGGTTCCTTGATTCTCCTGATCAGTTCACAGGCAACAGGAAGTACTCAAACTGGACCCAAAAAGAGGCTTCATGACAACGACACTTCTATGAAAGGCTGCCCAAAGCTACTGGGGGCTCAGGCTGGCAAGTCTCCAGGAGAGAGCGGCCCTCCCATGCACCATCCACCATCCAGGAGAGAGCGGCCCTGCCAGCCCCACCCACCATCCAGGAGAGAGCGGCCCTGCCAGCCCCACCCACCATGGGGCGCTTGCTGAGGACAAGCTCTGCCAGAGGAGGCTAGTGGGCCCCGGGGCCTCCATGTGGACGCCCTGGGGGGGTGGGGGGGACTGGTAAGAGCCTATGATGAGAAACACCGCACCAGGCAGGTGAGGAGCAAGCCAGGGAGGGAGGGGGTGTGTGCACCCCCATGGGAGGGAGGGAGGGAGGGGGGTGTGCACCCCCACAGGAGGGAGGGAGGGAGGGTGTGCACCCCCACGGGAGGGAGGGAGGGGGGTGTGCACCCCCACGGGAGGGAGGGGGGTGTGCACCCCCACGGGAGCCACCGCCCAGTAGCCCACGCACAGCGGGGCTAACCGCCTCCCTAGCTCCTCAGCAAGTGCTTCAGACAAGCTACTCTACTCGGAGTAAGCCCATCTGCTCCCCTCAGAAGAGGCGTGGCTTTGGTGAAACTCACAGGTGGTGGCTGCCGTGGCTGGGAGCAGAGTGATGTTCTTGGGGGACTCTTTCTTCATGGGCGTGGTGGGCAGTTCATTTTCCTTCTTGCGCCTTTTGTAAGGAACAAACAGCCTCACGGGACCACTCTGAGGGAGAAAGCCAGCGTTGGCCAGTGGCCATCAAGCCTCGGGGCAGGGGAGGGTGCGTGCTCGACTCTTCTCAAGCACATTCTCCCAATTCTCCCGAGGAAAGCCCACTCCTGCCCCTCAAAGACAGAATGCTTTCCAAAGCAACCGTGAACAGTACTGCCAGACAAGACAGCACCGCGGACACATGGGGCCTTAGGGTTCCTAGAAGGGAAGAAGAAGTGGAACCAAATGGGGAACAAGAAACACCACATCCCAGGCCACAGCTGCCGGTGACGCCTGTCATCCTCCGCTCAGTGAGAAGACAGCCTGGGAAGGCCAAGCAGCAGAAACAGAATCACAGGGCTGCCCTGCACAAGAGGGCCGCCCTGCACAAGAGACGCAGAAGGCCACCAGACAAGGGTCCCCCAAACCAGGCCCCGAGTTCAAGCCCCATGACCAAAAAAAAGTTTCACAGACGCTTCTGCCCAGGCTGGCTTCAAACTGCAATCCTCAGATCTCTGCCGCCTAAGCAGCTAGGATTACAGGTGTGAGCCACCAGCGTCTGCCTCCTGTTTTTTTCCAGAACTAGGAACTGAATCCAGGGTTTTCTGTGTGCTAAGCCTTCTTACCTGCTGAGCTTTACCTCCCGCTCTTTGAGCTGCCCAAACGCAAGTAGCTGGATTGCGGGCCTGCACTCCCATACCCTACTCTCCACGCTTGCGATGATTCCCTGAGCACACCTAGAAAGTTCCTTGAAGGCTTTGTTGGTTAAACCCTGCACCTTGGACTCTTAGGCTGCACCCGAGCCTCTTCTGCTATTCATGGTCCATGCTTCCTACTTCTCTGTACATCTTAAATTTCTCGTTAAAAAACATTCACTGGGAGAGGGTGATACTGTCCACAAAGAAATGCACTCTTTACCTGGCTTGCGTAACTGTAGCCCTGTGTACAGCATGTTTATAATAACAATTAAAAACATCAAAAAACAAAAAACCAGACATTGAGCAGGACGTACTATAGCAGCAGTGGGTATTAAGGCCCAGGGGCTTCCTGCTGGGGGCGCTGTTGGGATAACAGATCTTCCCCTGCAGAGAGCAGATGCTCCCAGGGCTGGGCAGGGAGAAGAGCCATCGGTGGCTGGCCATCCTGGCCCTGGCTAAGCTGGGTCTGCACGAGGCCGGAAGGAGCCGCGGCTGTGCTGCTGCCCTGTGGGAGTCGGTGCTCTGCTGGGGAGGGGAGGGTACTGGCACCTCGAGCGGCCTCAAGTGGCTGCTTTCTATAATCCTCCCAGCCACACCAGGTATTTCTCTGGGAGCAGACCGATGGTGGCATCACACCCCCAAGTGGAAGCCAAGATTTAAACAACCTGTTAAGGACCAACTTACTGATTCTGTGTTTAAAGAACCTTTTGTTATCAAACCTAAAAAACTCTGGGTCAAATCCTAAATAATGAAGATAGTCCACCTAGACAGCTTTCCTCTTATGTTTAGATCTTTGATCCAATTTAAACTACATTTGTGCAAAGTGTGAAGTTTGGGCCAAAGCTCAGTCCTTTGACAGCATCGAGGTGCCAACACTACTTGCTAGAACTCCTGTCTTGGTAAGCAACTAGACTCTGATCTCTTCTTTATAGCCTTCAAGTCTCCCCTGTGGGTACCATACTGTCCTGGTTACTGTAATGACAGCAAGTTTTAAAACCCCTGAATTGTGATTTTTTTCCAATGTTAGATTTCTTTTTCAAAATTATTTTGGTGGGGCTGGGAAGGTGGCTCAGTGCTTGCCTTGCATGCCTGAGGCCCTGGGTTCGATTCCTCAGCACCATGTAAGAAAAAAGCCGGAAGTGGTGCTGTGGCTCAAGTGGTAGAGTGCTAGCCTTGAGCTGAAGAGCTGAGGGCCAGTGCCCAGGCCAGGAGTTCAGGCTCCACGACAGGACCCCCCCCCAAAAAAAAAGAACAAAAAAAATCAAAACTATTCTGGCATTTCTCTTGGCACCAATGGCTCACACCCGTAATCCTAGCTACCTGGGAGGCAGAAATCAGGAGACTAGGTGTGTCAAGGCAGGCCAGGGAAAGTTTGCAAGACTATCTCAACAGAAAAAGCTGGCATGGTAGAGAACAGTCCATCATACTGCTGTTAGCATGGACCCTACTTCAAAAATAAGTACCGGGGCTGGGATTGTGGCTCAGTGGTAGAGTGCTGGCCTAGCATACATGAAGCCCTGGATTCAGTTCCTCAGTACCGCATACACAGAAAAAGCCAGAAGTGGTGCTGTGGCTCCAGTGGGAGAGTGCTAGCTTTGAGCAAAAAGAAGCTCAGGGTCAGCGCCCAGGCCCTGAGTTCAAGTCCCATGACCAGCAAAAATAAATAAATAAGTACATACAGAAACACAGCTTAAATGGTAAAGTACATTCTTAACAAGGAGGAACCCAGTTCAAGTCCCAGTACAGAGAGAGAGAGAGAGAGAATAGCAGATGCTTACTGTTTTGTCTTGTTTTTAAAACACAAGGTCTGTAGTGTTCAGGTGTGTGTTGGGCAGTACCTAGGCCCTCACACATATTAAGCTAGTCCGCTTACTGTGAGTCACACTCCTAGGCTAAGGCTTAAATTTTATTTTAATTTTAAAATGAGGGGCTGAGAGGTAGGTCAGAAATAAAGCGCTTGCCGAACAAGTACAACATTTTAGGGTCAATCCTCAGCATCAAAACACACACACACACACACACACACACACACAATCCTCAGCATCAAAACACACACACACACACACACACACACACACAAGCCCATATTATAGTATTTGCTACTAAGTAACTAAAATCTTAGAACCATAGTTCAAAGCCAGCCTGGGCAGATTTTTTTTTTTTTTTGGTTGGTCATGGGGTCTGAACTCTGGGCCTGGGTGCTGTCCCTCAGCTCTTCAGCTCAAGGCTAGTGCTCTACCACTTGAGCCACAGCACCACTTCCGGCTTTTTTTCTGTTTGTGTAGTGCTAGGGAATAGAACCCAGGGCCTCATGTGTGCAAGGCAAACATTGTACCACTGAGCCACCTTCCTAGCCAGCAGATCTTACCTCTAAATAAACAGGAAAAAAATTATAAATGGAGTAGAGTACCTGCTGTGAGCAGATAAAGCTGAATGAGAACTCAAGGCAATGAGCTCCCCATTACCAGCAAATAAGTAAAAAACATTTTCTTTTTTTTTTTTGGGTGGGTTGTGGGTCTTGAACGTTGGGCCTGGGCACTGTCTCTAGGCCCTTCAGCTCAAGGCTAGCACTGTACCACTTGAGCCCCAGCGCCACTTCCTGTTTTCTGGTGGTTTATTTGAGGTAAGTCTCATGGACTTTGCTGCGGGTGCTGACTTTGAACTGCCAAACTCAGATCTCAGCCTCAGGAGTAGCTAGGATTACAGGTGTGAGTCACTGGTGCCCAGCTTTCTTTTTTTTCTTAACAAGGAAAAACAACATTTAGAAGTTGCAGCAGATGAAATAGTAGTCATCCTAACTCCTGGAAACTGTAAGTACATTACTCTGACTGGCAAAAGGGATTCTGCAGACATAATTACAAATCTTGAGATGAAGATTACTCTGGGTAACGTAAGGAGGCCAATCTAATCACAAGCTCTGTAACAATGGAGAACCTTTCCTGGCTGAATCAAAGAAAAGAGACCAGCATAGCCGAACAGAGAAATCTGAAGCATGAGAAGGATATAACAGATCTTCGATGTCTTTAAAAATGGAAGAAGAGCTGGGAAGGTGGCTCAGTGGTAGAGCGCTTGCCTTGCATGCCTGAGGTCCTGAGTTCGATTCCTCAGCACCACATAAACAAAAAGAAAAAAGCCGGAAATGGTGCCGTGGCTCAAGTGGTAGAGTGCTAGCCTTGAGCTGAAGAGCTGAGGGACAGTGCCCAGGCCCAGAGTTCAGGCCCCAAGACCAACCCCCCCCCCAAAAAAAAAAGAATGAAGTCGACACCTGGGAATCTAGAAACACCTGGGAATCTAGAAACAGTGTGTGTGTGTGTGTGTGTGTGTGTGTGTGCGCGCGCGCGTGCGTGTAACTAACCACTTGAGCCACAACTCCATTTCTGGCTTTTTGGTGTTTAGTTGGCAGTAAGAGTCTCAAGGAGAGCTGGGAAGGTGGCTCAGTGGTAGAGCGCTTGCCTCGAACGCATGAGGCCCTGTGTTTGATTCCTCAGCACCACATAAGCTGAAAAAGCCAGAAGTGGTCCTGTGCCTCAAGTGGTAGAGCGCTCGCCTTGAGCTGAAGAGCTGAGGGACAGCGCCCAGGCCCAGAGTTCAAGCATCAGGACTGGTTAAAAAAAAAAACACTAAAAATAACTGAAACGAAACTAGTACAGTAGTACCCTATAAACTGTATCACACACAGTAAATAAACAGTATCATACTTTTAAAAACCACACGGCAATAGACATAAAACGATCTTGCCTCCTCTAGAGCAGGTAAGAGCAGGATAGGCAGCCAGCTGGCTCTCAGGACACGGCAACTCCACCCACGCGACAGCCGGCGCACTGTTACGAAACCGTGTTAAAAGTGCAGACCATGAGTCACAATGTGCATCTGTTATAACCACTTTAAACGTCCGTGTTAGACTGAAGCGCTAGTGGCTCCCTCCTGTAACTTAGCTGGTCCAGGAGGCTAACATCTGAGGATCAAGGTTTGAAGCCAGCTCAAGCAGACAAAACCATGAGACTCTACAATTAGGCAGCAAAATGCCAACGAGAGGCAGAGCTCCGAGTTCAAGCCCCAGTACTGCACACACACACGCACGCACGCACGCACGCACGCACACACACACACGCACGCACGCACACACACACACACACACACACACACACACGTGCTGTGCTGCTTCTGGGCAGACCCAGTGGCTGTGCGGCCTTCCTCATCTCAGACCCTAGACCTCTCTGGAGACACAGGGATTAGGGTTGCGCCGAGGCGCGTCTACGAAGGTGGGTAGGATCTCCCCAGGCACGGGGCAACAGAAAAGTAGGACAAGAGGTGAGAGAGGCTGGCATGTCCACCCGCACATCCCGCAGCTCACGCACCAAGACTTACCAGGGTCATATCATCACAGCAGGCGGCACAGGTGCATGAGGCGGCGTGAGGGTTTAAAATCCCATCCTACAACGCAGAAGGTATCCAGCCACGTTAGAATGCCTGTCCCAGCAGAGGCTGCCCATCAGACTGCACTCAGCTCTACTGTGCATTCACCACCACACATGGAAGACGTGAAATGTAACATTCCTGAAACTGCTACATCTTTACATGAAGGGCTCCCCTGAAGCCCTCTGGGAACAGAAGACCCCACAGGCATTCGGGATTTCCTCATCCATGCTGGGAGCTGACCTGGAACAGGGTAAGAAGTCCTCCTTCTTAGGAGAGGACTACGTGCATGTATCTGATCATATAAAATAGCATTGATCAAAAAGAAACCCAGGAGGCCGGGTGCCAGTGGCTCACGCCTGTCATCCTAGCTACTCAGGAGGCTGTGATCTGAGGACCGAGGTTCAAAGCCAGCCCAGGCGGGAAAGTCTGTGAGACTCTTATCTCCAATAAACCACTAGAAAACTGGAAGTGGCGCTGTGGCTCAAGTGGTAGAGCTGAGGGACAGCGCCCAGGCCAAGTTCAAGCCCCATGACTGACATAAAACAAGACAAAACAAAACAAAACTCCAGGAAATGGACATCAAGTTTTTTCCTTTGTTGCTGTTTTTCTTTTCTTTTTGTCTTATTTGTTCAGTTACCTGACTTTGGAAAGGTAAGGAGGGATCATATAAATGGAGGGACAAAGGGTGAATAAATGAAGCAGTGGTAGTCACTAGACACTATGTTGAAAATGAACCATACAATTTGTGGACAGCAATGGGAGGGGAAAAACTGGGAAAGGATAACACTGTCTAAAAAAAAAAAATGTACCCTTTACCTGACTTATGTAAGTGTAACCCCTTCTTTATATCATCTGTATAATAATAAAAACTTAAAATTAAAAAAAAAAGCAGGGTTGGGTGCTGGTGGCTCACGCCTGTAATCCTAGCTACTCAGAAGGCTGAGATCTGAGAATCACGGTTCAAAGCCAGCCCAGGCAGAAAAGTCTGTCAGACTCTTTTTTTTTTTTTGGGGGGTCCAGTTGTGGGGCCTGAACTCTGGGCCTGGGCACTGTTCCTCAGCTCTTCAGCTCAAGGCTAGTGCTCTACCACTTGAGCCACAGCACCACTTCTGGCTTT